AATAGACTAACTGCAAAAAGACTAAATACAAATAGACTGATTGCAATTGCCCTAAATTAGTATCTAAAGGTTTTATTTTGGTTTTACTGACTATAACAGTGATAGTATTTTTGAATTCGTTTTGTTTGTTTTTTTTTTCATCATCTAATATAATAAAATTATTTAAACGGTAGTAGCAGTTAACAAAAAAATAGGAAAAGCACAGTATTTATTATAGATTACAATAATTAATAATACCCAACTCGTTAATATTATATTAATAAAATATTTAGTTTGCAACCCTTACTTCACTTCTTTTTCGTCGACACCAATGATTGAACCAACAGAATCCCGACTCTTTAATCCAGCTCATCTTTGTAATGACTCTTTGTGAAAATGATAACCTGGAAATTTCTTTGACAACAATAGGCCTACTCAAATTTAAATTTTAAATTGGCTGGAGGTATCTTATTTGAATAAAAAGAAAAATAACCTGATTAGAGGGAGAGTCTGTCAGTTATGAAAGAAATGTAGATTATGTTTTTAATATTAAAATGGTTTTGGAAGCTTTGCGGAATCAGTTTTTTGTTCTCTTTGCTTTAGGTTTATTTTCGGAGAACGCGCATATAGAAGTCCATTAAAAAGAATCTGTATTTTCTTTTTTTTCTAATTTATTAGAAAATATACTATACAGGTAAGGAAATTTAAACGCAGACCATCTAAGCCAAATCTATTAGATACGAGTGAAAGTGGGAGTGAAATGGAAGTCTTACGTACCGTGTGCCGGGCCAGGTAGAATAGAATAGGTAAAGCGCTGTCCACCAGCGAACTTTGTTTGATTTTTTTTTCCGTGATGACTCGTTATTGTACACTTTTTTGGATAGTCATATATAAGGACCCTATTTACTAATTTGTGAGAGTGGTCGTGTAGGAGTGCTCTCTCAGAATTTAGCCTTATATAGAGAGTATGTCACTCTTCTAAACTTATAAAATACGCATTCTCGAAGAGTAAGCAAATGCGAGTTCTCTACTGAATATGAATAAAATCAAAAAAATTGCCTGATTTTGAGAGAACTGATATGCGCACATTGTGTTTAGTCACGAAATGGGCCCGTTCACTTTCATTTTTGAATGTGAATTAATTATATATTTATAAAGATATTAAACTCTTTTGTCTGGTGGTACTTTTCCCGTTAAGATATTTTTGCTAGAAGTAAGGGAATTCCCATAAAATTCTTACAGTGACTCATTGCGTCAGAAAATTCCTAATTCCGTTCACGTCTCGTATCGGTTATGCTTAAAGACGGCGAGGTTGTCGGAAGTATCCCTAATATAGCATTTCTGCATTTATATATGTAATTTAAATAGTAAAATTCCATTATTTTTCTAAAAATCATGAACTTATATTTTCAGATTTAAAGCTGGGAGCTTATTTTTTACTTTTTAATTAAAACAATTATTATTACTCAGGCTGAAAATTAACCAGACCATAATCAAAAAGTAGAAATTTGATTTGCAATATGTACCTGGTAAACGTGGCAACGTTGCATTTATTTCTAGAAGTGTGTAGACAACACTATTTAGAAGTACTTACAACGTTGTCACGTTTACCAGATACATTTTCTCAAATAATCTGGTAATATTCAGCTTGAGTAATACTAATTGTTTTTATTAAAATTTAAAAAAGGTAAGGCTTCCAGCTTTATCTGAAAATATAAACACATTATTTTTAAAAAATAATATATTTTATCATGTAAATTTCTTTAATAAATGCAGAAGAGGAATGGTGGTGCAATGATACATCCGACAACCGCGCCCTTTTAACTATTAACCGATACAAGACCTGAAGGGAATTAGGGGTTTTCTGACGCAATGAGTCACTGAAAGAATTTTATGGGAATTCCCTTACTTCTAGCAAAAATATCTTAACGGGAAAAGTACCACCAGACAAAAGAGTTTAATATCTTTATAAATATATAAATAATTCACATTCAAAAATGAAAGTGAACGGGCCCATTAAACAGACTCTGCCAATAATAAAAAGTAGGTACAAGATATTGATTTTTTACACAGCTATGATTTTGTATTTGAGAATTGTCACCTATCAAAAGTGTTTCAAGTTAAGGGTAGCCCATATGTGAGTAGTATTAAGAAAGAGAAAATGTCCTTTATTTCTCAAAGTTATTTAACGGATTAACATAAAATGGTACTGTGTCTACATATGCCTCTAAGTTGGAAAATAAAAAAGTACCAACAGTCAATTTAATTTAAAAAACTACATTAAGGTTGCGCTTACCCCAATGGCTCTTTAATATACTCAAAGATAACGCTACCATATGCATTTACGTGATAATATTCAACAGCGGTCCAACTAAAAGGTCAATACCGCCTCGTTCATTTCAGAACAAAAATATTCTCTCCTACTGTTTGAACTATTTGGCAACAAGCATATCGGCAGATTTTTAGTAATTTTTACTATTTATGTAGAAACTTGGTAGATCAATTTAATCTACTGTGCAACGTTGTCAAGTTTAATAAATAAAATATATATTGGCATTCATTTGGTACAAATAAATTATAAATTCAAGTTTAATATATTTTCTAACATAAACGGAATAAAAAAAAATTTAAACCAGGAGTTATTCTATTGTTTTACATAAAAAGAAAAACTAAAAACATCACTATTTATGTCGTGATATATAAAAACTTTCTATTTCGGTAGAGCCGACAATCTCGCATTAAAAATTTATATTATGAAGACTAGTTATTATTTTTTTGAACGTGTTCAAGGCTTTAAGGTTGAGGATGTCAATTTTAAATTCTGTTTATTTTTAATCATCATTGTTGTTGATATTTTAAAATTTCTCAAAAGACGGGTTTTTCAAATAATATCTCTGGTACTTCCGAAGATCTGGAACCTAATTCTTTCCAAAGCGGAGCAGGTACATAAATGTGCTCTGCAGATTCGTCTTCCACGCTGCAGAATCGACAGTCAGATGTTTGTTGCAGAACTGTCCTTCTCATGTGATTACCCAGACGACAATGTCCTGTTATCAGTCCCATGAACATGCGTAGATCTTTCCTACTCCATTCCCGGACTTCAGTAGAGGCATTCACGAAAGGGTTAGTAATAAACGCCTTCAAATGAGTTAACCATGGGGTATCTCTCCAGTTCGTCCTAAAATAATTGGATAAATAATTGGATAAATAATTGGATAAATAATTGGATAAATAATTGAATAAATAATTGGATAAATAATTGGATAAATAATTGGACAAATAATTGGATAAATAATTGGAAAAATAATTGGATAATTAATTGGATAAATAATTGGATAAATAATGGGACAAATAATTGAACAAATAATTGGATAAATAATTCAGATACATAAATGGATAAATAATTGGATAATTGCAAGTAAATAAAGTAATTTAAGATATACAGGGTGGCTCACGCTCAACGGGACGGAGCTTTATGGGAAAACGACCAAAGATATAAAAAATTCGTTTGGGAGGAATACGTAGGTTACAGACGGCTACAATTTAAAATTTGTTAGATGTATACAAGATGTCCCACATAAGAGAAAATATACAAAGTTATATTATTTTTAATGGAACGCCCTGTTTTTTATTTTAGAATTAAAAACTACATCAAAAATAATGTCAGTTAACTAAAGGTTCCCTATTACTATTATTATTAGTTTTCGATTTATTTGAATTTTTAAGGAAAAAAAGTCTCCCAGAAATTAATTGTTTACTCTTGTTTGAATAATTTTTAATGAACTAATTTTTTTTTCTTATGTGGGACATCCTGTATACATCTAACAAATTTTAAATTGTAGCCGTCCTAACCTACGTATTCCTCCCAAACGAATTTTTTATATCTTTGGTCGTTTTCCCATAAAGCTCCGTCCCGTTGAGCGTGAGCCACCCTGTATACATGGGCGTCGTTTGGGGGGGGCAAGGGGGGGCAGTTGCCCCCCCTGGCTTTTACGACTTTGTAACAACCAGTTAACCTAAAGACCAACGCTCGTCACCAAATGTAACAACCAGTTAACCTAAAGACCATTTGCAACTACTGATAGGTCTTTAGCTACTGTTACTATACTATTAAGGGATAAAGGCAGCGCCTGTCACCAGCCAAAGGGTCCTGGAGTCCTTAAGGAACATCCATTCGCCAGTGGCAAAATAAAATAATAAAAGAAAATAATAAAATTACAAAAAAAACATCCCTTAATAGCATATGTCGAGCGGTTCTTGGCAACTAGTTTTAGACTCTTTTAGTCCTAAGGGAATAGAAACGCCGAGGCTTCTCAAATGCTCGGAGTATTTTGCTGGTTTGGGAAAGGAGGAGAGATTAATAATAAGTATTAAAACATTAACAAATGTATATTAACAATAAATAAAAAACTTGACAAATAGTCTTCAGAAAAAATGAATAAAATTCCATTTAGAGAATAATGCACTATAACTAATAGTAATAAAGATAAGCATAAAATATAATTCGGGACGAAAATGTAAAATTGGCATTTATATGTAAATCAATTAATCAATTATTATTAAACAAAATTAAGTTAAAATATTTACCTATAATTCACATCGTACACAAAAAACTTTACACATTACTTTACAATAAAAAAACCAGGGTTTCGCCCGAGGGGCGAAAGTTCTGGACCTTAGTCCGAACCCGACTGAGCCTTTCCCCCAAGTGATCCTTTCTATATAAACCAAAATTTATGTGACTGTTGATTGTATTTTACAATGTCACGTTCAATGTAAATTAATAAAATGAAGGTTTGTTTCATTGTCATAAGTGTCTTTTTAATTATTTAATTTAAACATTAAATACTTGTTTAGAATTTTTGGTAAATTCTTTAGATTTTTTCAATTAATAATAATGCCAATTATTACATTATTCCCCCGACAGAAAAAAAATTGAACTACTTGTTCAATTCTTTTTAAAACCCTTAATGTAAATAATTTACAAAAATTTTTAAAACAATCTACAATAATATGATAACCTCACGCTTGCTTCACTGCACAAGTTGTATCTTCTTTGGTCTTCTTAATTGGCTGGCCGTAACTACCCTTTACTCTCTGGCTGTCACCTCTCATCATCCCCTGATCCTTGACCTTCCTGGAATGGTCCCTTCCCGATCTGGTTTGGTCCTTGGGCTGCTAAACCTGGTAACCCTTTTGGCTGAGGTTACGGGTTCTTTCTGCTACGGTAGTCTATCAATTTTTCAATAGACTTTGGCTTTGGACTCTCTGGTTGACTATTTGCTCGGGACTGCTTCTCTCTTTTGTTACTCTGAGACTGGTAGTGTACATGGCTGCTGTACACGGCTGCTACTGGTGGTCCCTATTGACTCATTACTGGGAATGGCCTCTTTCATTGAACCTTAGTCCATTCCATATGAATTATTTGGTCCCTTTTTTCCGCATTTGACTCCATTTTCTTCCTGCTGTGGATTTGGCTCCTACAGACTCAAAATGGACCCGACATCATGTCAAGCTCCCTTGGCGGTATAACTCATGCCCTCTGAGAGCTTGGTGGTACTGGTTGGCCCTTGTTTCTGGATTTGGATGGAACAGTCTCTTTGTAGCCTTGGATTCTGGAGTTCTGGAAGTAGGCCCATTCTATGCTGTTGATCGTGAAATCGTGGAACTCTGGGGTCCCTTGGTATGGTCCTGGATTTTGATAACTATCACGATTTGGACTTCGTGATAGTCCTGGAACGGTGCTGAGGGTGACTCTGGCAAAGGTAGTACGGTGTTGACTTCTTCTTCTTCCCACCGCTGTCACCAAATGTAACAACCACCGTCACTTAGGGTGTAACTGTTGTCACTAAATGATAATGTAGTGGCCAAAAGGACTCTAGTCATCAACGGGGGGTGTACACTGTAAGTGTAAAGGCAGCCTGTCACCAGCCACAGTCAGGGGATAAGGTCCTTAGAGCTTATTCACTCTCACCGTGACAAAAAAAAAGAAAAAAAGAAAAAATAAAATAATAGATTTAAAATAAAAGAATTTTCCCCCGTGATGAATAGAACGAGCGGATTAAGGAAATGGTTTGGCAAACTGACAATAGGCACCTATAGTCCTTACTCGGGAGTAGGTTCGCCGGGGCTTCGCAAAAGTGCCCGGAGTGTCTTTTGACAAAAGGGGAAGGTAGACCTGATTAAATCGACTATATTTTGGTTAAAGAATAAAAAAAGAACATCTAAATAATTATTCAGTTATCCAACTCTGGACTTTGTTAGATAGCTTATCTGAACTAGGGGTTGTCCCTCTTTATAGAACTCGGGCAGAACTCAACAACTCTTAACACACATAAGATAAAACCAGGTGAACGTTTAACAACTTAATATATTTAGCTCAATATATATTTAAACATGTAACAAATTTTAATCATAGACAAAAGAAACGATCAAGTAATACAATATGTTTGGAGGTACAAGATCCACCCTGAGGTTCTTGCCTGATTCGGTAAATCAGTCGTCGATAACAAAATACCGATAAATAATGTAAGGATAGATAGCAAAAAAATGTCAGAAATCCCGTTGGATCTTGTAGCTACCAAAGTCAAAAAAATAAACTATATCACTTCCTATTAAAATCTACGATGAGAGGTAACAAAATAACTTGGCAAAAATGAAAAAAAGAGAGAACTGTCACAATTTTAATGTAGTGAAAGAGGAAGGCTTACCTTGCTCGAAACGTAGTTTCGATTTCACTAAGTTTAAATTGATTGGCTGATATTTATTATTAAATCACAATTTAAAAAAATTACTTTATGATTCCCGATATACGATTTATCGGCGTCGATGGGTAGTCGGACAGCGTAACGTCCGGCCCACTCAGTAACTGTCCTTTTCCCCTCGTTTCCACATCATTTTTATATTGATTGAGACGTGCTTTCTTTGAAATTTTTGGTCAACTCAAATATTTAATTTACTTTGATATTATAGTAACTGTTTACTATTTCTAAGGTCAAATGTACTTGAAAATTTATATGAGATTTTTATGTAAAATCTTTAGATTAATTAAAATAATTGCCAAATTATTACATTACTCCCCTCTCCGACAAAAAAATTGAACTTACATGTTCAATTCTTTTTCGAACTCCCTAATCTGAATATTTTCCTAAAAATTAAGCATATAAATTTTTACATTCAATTATCCTACGATGGTTAATTTGCTTCTTTTTCTTTCTTCCTCGTCACGTCCTTTGCTTTGTTGGCTGCCATCATCTGCCCTTCCTACATATCCATTTTCCTGTTGCTTTTTAATTGTTCCCTTGATTCTGTCCAATGTTTTTGATCCATTTGCTGAGAGAGTCCCTGCTCCATGCTCTGCATTTCCATTGTTTGTTTATCGTCGTCCTCGTGTTTTGTTTGGCGATACTGGTTCCTGTGTAGTACCCATGACGTCATTGCTGTTCCTATGCTGGCTATTAGTTGTACTCCGCATCCGAGAGTTTGGTAGATTCTCATGCTGTTGAGTATTACGCTGCCAGCGTAGTGGATCATTCGGAAAATTACGTAGAATCCGATAAGTCCACTCATGAATGTTCCTATTTCGGAAAACCATCCCCATAACTGTTTCATGGATGATTTTGCTAGCTGTTGGATCTCGTTAGTGTTGAAAATGTTTGCTACGGAGTATCCTTGGCTGTTGGCTTCCAGTCCTGCTGCTCGTCTGATGAGGATATTCTCTACTGCCTTTCTCTCTGTACCGAATTTGAGGGTTCTTTGAGCATCGATGATCTCTTTTTGTGTGTAGAGACCTTCTGCTCCTATTGGCTGGATGGGTTCGAACTGTATTTTTGGCTCCATTTCTACTTCTAGTTCTTTTGGTGGTGATACAACTCTTGGATGTGGATTTAGGCCTATCCATTGATCATCTACGTAGTATAGAGGTGGTATCAGGTTATTGCAGTCAATTTCTTCTCCGTAATCTTGTATTACTCTGGTTAATGGTGACATAAACTTTGACTGGTTTGACATCGTGATTGGCAGTTCGTGATAACACTTATCTGTTCGTCTGACCATAACTATTTTCGGTGTGCATTTCATGATATATAGTACTTCTCCAAGGACTCTTCCTATATATCCTGGCTCATGCTGCATTAGCTGGCTTACGGCGTTGGGTAATATTGGCGCCATTAGTAATCGATTTTTCAATATTTCTCTCCTTGTCTGGCAACGTCTATGTACTGTGTCTATGTACAATTTATCTAATTGTCTTTTGTAGGCTTGTTCACTATATAAGAATTTACTGTTTATATAGCTCATCAAGTCTACATTTTGTGGAAGTGAAAGCATTGGTGTGTTGATTTTCTTGGAATTTTCTTGTACGTGGACTAATATTCGTGGGTGCTCTGTTTGCCATACTTCAATGCCGCATAATGTAGCTCTTTTCTGTAGTGCTAATGCAAATAATTTGGTACTTTCTTCGACTACTATTATTTCTTCTTGTGTTATCTTATTAGTTATTTTTTCTCCTTTTCCTTGATATAATGAACTGAGGTGGTCTTCGCACGATGGGGGGTTGAATTGCTCCCAGATTGTTTCTCCATAAGTTGAGTCGAAACAATATCCTTTTAGGTATGGACATGTTACGCCTCCTTGTAAGTGTATCTCGTTCTCATCTAGGCTTATTGACGTGTCATAATCTCTGGTCATAATTGATACTGCTGCTACTATTACTACATCGGTCCATAGTCGTCCATTTTCTTGGTAAGTTACCCCTTGGCATGTTCCTTTGTCGTCTAACTGTCCTTGCAGCGTGATGGATGCTGTGGTTGTGCCATTCATTGCTACGTTGCCAATGGTTTGTCGAAAGATCTGTAGAGACTGGTATCTGTGCATGGATCTGCACTCCTCTGCTCCTAGCTTGTGGATTGACTTGGATACTCCATTTTCCACAATGGAAGTGTGACTGTACATACCACAGTGGAACATTATTCTGTTGACTTCTACTAGGCAGGTCCAAATGTGTTGTCGCTGGAATTCATTTCTCTGGATAACTTGGACTGTGACATCTTCGCTTTCGTAGGTTAACTCTGGTGTGGGACATTTTTGTACATCTTTCAGTGATATTGTCGTAATATTGGTTGCTTCTTCGGAACAATCGTAGGCTATGATAGCCATTACACTTGGTAGGATGCTGATGATGACCAAAGCTAAGGCTGTGTGACGTTTTCGGTCCATTCTTTTTTCTTCTTATCCTCTTTGTTGATAATACCTATAAACAATATAATAATAATTTCTTTAAACTCTAGTGTTTTAAATTCCCTATATTTATATGTTACAAACTTATTATAAATATTCCTATTTGTCCTAACTCGTATATACCCTATGCTACGCTACTGGTGTAAGATTGTGAAAATTCGAGCTGCTTTTCTGTTAAAATATTAAAGTACTATTTATAAATAATTTCTGAGTTTTAAGTTCAATGTCATTGTTGTTTTGAAATATTATATTATGACCTAATGTTTAATGTTTATATTTCCGCTACTCGCTTTTTCTCAGTCTTAATAATATTTTAATTTCTAATGTTTTGGTATCCTATTACAATGTAAGTGTCGTATTGTTTATTTATATTAAGTTTTTATGTCTAATGAACTGTTTTGTTATGTCTTAATTTATTCGCAATCTTTGAAATCTTCTATATCTGAGAATTCTTGGGTACTGCAATCCTCGAAGTCTTCTGTGTCTGTGTCTATTTGAATACAATCTTCCAATTTTTCTTCTTTTTGTTTTTCCATTTCTTTGTTTTTTCTATTTCTTTTTATTCTGTTTAGATTTATTTTGTTTGGGGTGCTGTAGATTCTGTTTCTTATTCTCGTCGATCGTCTAATTGTTGGTGGGGGTTGTAGTACGGTGCCTCTATCAACTTGTGTGCTCTTCCTTCTTTTCCTTATTGTTGATTGTCCCTCATCTTCCTGTTTTCTTTCTATCCAGGTCGGTAATGTGGCTGCCCTTGAAATTTCTACATCCTGATTGTTTTCAGTCTCTTCGATTATTGTTTCTTGTTCTGGCTCTTCCGTGTGCTCATTTTGTTCGTCATCTTCTTTCCCGTAGTACCGTTTTAGTCTATTAATGTGTACTACTTGTGATGCTCTTCCATTTGGCGGTAATACTCTATAGGTGACTGGTCCGATTCTTTCCATAATTTTGTATGGTCCGATCCATCTGTTTCTCAGCTTCTTTGAGATGCCCACCTTGCTGCTAACGTCTAGTAAGTATGTCAGATCTCCCACTTGAAATTCTCGCTCTTGAGTGTTCTCGTTAAACCTTTGGACTCTGTTTTCTTTTGCTCTTTCTGTATTTACTTGTACTTTTTGGTAGATATCTTTTAATCTGGCTTCTAATTCTGACACGTAGTTATCTCCTATGTCGTACTTAGTCCTTTTGGGTCGGATAAATTCGTCTATTGGCAGTTCTTGCTCTCTTCCGTGTAGTAGGAAATATGGGCTGAATCCTGTTGATGTATGAATACTGCCTCTGTAAGCCATTAGAACATATGGTAACCATTGATCCCAGTCTCTTTGATTTGGTGATATGTAATGTGATAACATATCTTTTAGCACTCTATGCATGCGTTCTATTTGCCCATTTGTCGTCGGTGCGTAACTGGATGTGTGGAGTCTTTTTATATTCAATAATTTGCAGGTTTCTTTCATTACTTCTGATAAGAAATTTGCTCCTCTGTCGGTGAGTAGTTTCGTCGGTGTTCCATGCCTACATACTATTTGTTCGACGAATGCTCTCGCTATTGTTTGGGCCTTCTGGTCTGGTAGTGGTATCGCTTCGCAGTATTTTGTAAAATGGTCTTGGAATGTCAGGATGTATTTGTTTCCATTATCTGAAGTTACTAATGGTCCAACTATGTCCATTGACGTGATTTCCCATGGTTGAGCTACAGCTGTAAACTTCTGTAGCGGGGCTTTCTTCATGTGGGGTGACGTCTTCCTTCTATTGCATGCGTCGCATTCTGTGCAGTATCTGAAGACATCTTTTTGGATGGATGGCCAGAAAAACCTCTTCTTAATTGATAATAGCGTCTTTTGTTGACCTTGGTGGCAGTATAATGGGGTGTCATGAAAGTCTTCCATCACTTTCTTTATTAACTTCTTTGGAATTACTAGTTTGTCCTGTCCTTCTCCATTGTTTTGTTGGTATAGTATTCCCTCTTTGTCTGTGTAATACTTGTTTTTCATGTCTTCTTCTTCATTGTCTAACTTTTGAATAATTATCTTACAGTATTCGTCTCGTCGTTGTGCTTCTTTTAGTGAATCTCTGTCCCATGTTGGTTCCCAATTGTTTTCTTCGTGTACATTTATTGCGTTTATTTTATTATCTTTTTGTGTTTCTGTTATTATATCTATCTTTAATTGACTTCCGTACCACATGAAGTGTATCATTTGCTCCACTTCCTCCCATGTTAATCCTTCTACTTGGGTTTTCGTATTGAAAAGTGTGATTATGGGGTCTTCGTTTAGTTCTGCGAGTTTTCTCAGTTTTTTCAAGCATTCCCAGGTTGATTCGTACGACGTTTCGTCTTCGGGTGTCGCTCGGTTTATCATGTAGTATATTCGTCTATCGGCTGTGTTCCATTCTATGATACTCTCTAGTAGTTGATCTCTCGCTATTGTGGGTTGTCCGTACGTTTCCTGGATTGCCTTTACCACTTGATCTCGTGCTATCCTCTCTCTTGGGATGAATACGGCTATCGTCTGATTGTCTGGGATTGTGAGTATGTTTCCTCCTTTTCTTACGATATTTTCACTAGTTGGGATGTGAAAATTCTGTTTTTTGTATTCAACGTATTCTTCGTAGTCGGGTTCCACGTAGTTCGTTGCGGGGTCGAACATCCGGCTGAGTGCATCTGCGTTGCCATGTTTCTTTCCTGGTCGGTGGATAACTTCAAATTCGTACTCTGCTAGGGTTAATGCCCATCTGGTTAGCCTGGAGTTTGGGTCCTTCAATGATAGTATCCATTTCAGCGCTCTGTGATCTGTGATTATGGTAAATTTTGTGTTGTAAACATAGCATCGGAATGTTTTGACTCCGTGAATGACCCCTAGCAATTCTTTTTCCGTGGTGGAATAGTTCATCTCTGCTCTACTCAGCTTCCTACTTGAATATGCGATTGGCCTTTCTCTTCCGTCTTTTATTTGACTTAGTATGGCTCCTACTCCGATATTTGATGCGTCTGTCGATAGAATGAACGGCCTTGTGAAATCTGGGAATATCAGTAGATTTTCTGACGTCAGAGATTTTTTTAATTTGTCCATTGCCTGTATCACTTCTTCTGTGATTTTGAATTTCTTTTCTTTCATCGTAAGTTCGACTAGTGGTGCTGCGATTTCGGTGATCTTCGGGATGAATCGTCTATACCAATTGACAAGGCCTAGGAATCCTCGTACTCCTTTGACATTCTTCGGTAAGGGATAATTGTGTACAGCCTGTAACTTTTCGGGATCCGGTGAAATTCCTTCTTGGGAGATAATGTGTCCCAAATATTTCACTTTCGGTAGCATAAAATTGCATTTTTTTGGCTTCAATTTTATGTTTGCGTTCGCTAATCTCTGGAAAATTTCCTCTAATTTATTGATATGCATCATTTCTCCGTCCGGGTTGAAAATTATTATGTCGTCCAGGTACACCATGCAGTTTAATCCTGTGAGTCCTGCGAGTGTAATATTCATGAAGCGTTGGAATGTGGCTGGAGCGTTCACTAACCCAAAAGGCATCTTTGTGTACTCGAAATGTCCTTGGAATGTGCTGAACCCCGTTAGTGGAATGTCCTTTTCGCTCATGTCGATTTGGTGGTATGCTTCTGCGACGTCTATTACTGAGAAGATTGTTTGTCCTCCTGCGTTGTAGCTCTGTAGCAAATCTGAAATATTCGGTAGTGGATAGTACTCTTTCTGTGTAACTGCATTTAGTCCTCGGTAATCTATGCACATTCTTACTTTTTCTTTTCCCTCTGCATTCTTTTTTACTACTAATACTACAGGGGCTGACCATGGACTTGATGAAGGTCTGATGATTTTGGCTTTTAGTAATCTGTCTACTTCTCTTTGTAAAACCTCTCTTTGTTGGTAGGGTATCCTGTACGGTGCTTTGCATATTGGCTGTGCTCCTGGTTCTAATATTATTGCGTGTTTGACCTTTGATGCGCTTGTCAAGATGTCTTCGTCATCTGTGAACAGGAAGTGGTATTTTCTTAGTAGTTTGATTAGTTCAGATTTCTCTGGTTCCTTGATGTGTTCCATCTCAAACCCTTCCTGGATCCATTTGTCGTTGGAATTATCGAACCGTGCGATAGTTTCTTGTTGTTTTGTGATTGGTTTCTCTTCTTCATCGCATTTGTACGCTATTCCTATTTTTTCTCCTTTTCTCAGTGTAACTTCTTTGAATGATGCATTTATTATTCTTATTGGTATTTTTTCTATATTACTCGTCACGCTATTTGCTAATCTTGTCATCATTTGTCCTTGTTCCTGTGTTTCGCATACAATTGTTCTTCCTGTTAGCTTCTTTTTTAATTTTCCAGTGGTCTGTACTTCTGTTCGTCCTGGTATAATTATTTCTTCTTCGATTATGATGTCAGTATTTTGCCTCTCATTCTGTCTTTGTTCTGCTTGTTTTTCTAGATCTTTTTGGTTATCGTTCATTTCTTCTTTTTCTTCCCCTGGCTCTTTCGTTATTTTTTTCGTAGGTTTTTGTTGTTTTCTCATGATTTCTCTAACTTTTCTCAACCATTGTTCCCATGCTTCAGGTTTTTCTTGTGTCGTCCTGTGATCCGTTTCTCTTATTTGGCTCGCTGCTTGCTTTCTTATTGGATTTTCCTCTTTGCATCGCTCTTTTCTTCCCCTCATAACTTGGTATACCGTTTGTTTCCATTCACTCCAGTCTGAATTTGATTCTTCGGATTCGGAGTCCTGTCTTATCTGACTTACATTGCTGGGACATCTTCGCACTTCTTCGTCTTCTACACGTGGTTTGTATTGTCTTCTTATTGCTGCCTCTACTTCGCTTGCTTTAAGTAACTTCAGCTTTTGACCCCAAATATATAGTGCTGGCTCGTCCTCGTATGTTATCACTGCCTTTTCTCTTCCCAAAAAGTCTCTTCCCAGTAGTACTGCTATTTCCCCCATGGTTTGGTCCTCGCAAGCTATTACCTCGGTCCTATGTTCATTTATCATTGCATCTGTGGATAATTTGATTTGTACTGATCCGTACAATTTTATTGAATGCCCTGTTATTCCTTGTAACGTCAAGTTGTCTGTCACATCTGTATGCATCTCTCTGTGTGACACTAGTGAAAACTTAATTAAGGAGAAGGCCCCTCCTGTATCGATCATACATGGCCTCTTTGTACCATTGACCCTTAGTATTACAATATACGGGGATTCGCCGAAAAATTTTCTTGTCGAATCATTGTGATACAGTCTCACTGTAGGCTGCATTTGTTCATCGTTTGTGAATCGTCCTTCTTTCTGAAAATTGGCCCTTGTCGTTTGTTGTGGGGTTCGATCATTTTGTCGGACCCATCTATCTGGTTCTGCTTGCTCATTTTGTCTCCCCTGCCATCCTGAAAAACCACTTGATCGGGGAGTTACAGTGGTTTTTATTAGTTTAAATGATCGGAACTGTAGTTGATGCTTTCCCGTCTTCCTTCTTGTCGGTTGCCTTGTTCCGGAATTTTGTTATCTCTGGAATTTCTGGTATCTCTGGTATCTCTGGTATCTCTTGTATCTCTGGTATCTCTGGTATCTCTGGTATCTCTGGTATCTCTGGTATCTCTGGTATCTCTGGTATCTCTGAAATCTCTGGAATAACTGGAGTCTCTGGAATATCTGGCTTCTCTGACATCTCTGGAGTCTCTGGCATCTTTGGAATCTCTAGAATATCTGGCTTCTCTGACATCTCTGGATTCTCTGGCATCTCTGAAATCTCTGGAATAACTGGAGTCTTTGCCTCTGTTTCCTCTGTATTCATCCATGTCGTATTCTTGATTTCTTCCTTGTGACGCTCTCGAAAAGTCCCTCTGTGTACGGTTCGTTCCCTCCTGGTATGCGTCGTTCCTTCTTGTTTCATATCTGTATTCATTGTTGTGTCTCCTGGGGGATCCTCCTTGGTCGTTGTCCCAGTTCATCGGTTGAAACTTATATTTTTCCTGCCATTTGTTCCTATTTTCTTCCGCTGCCTTGCTTCTGCAGTCTCTGACCCAGTGTCCACTTTTTCCGCAATAAAAACAGGATCTATCTCCTGTTCTTCCCATATTGTCCCGGATTTTACTTCTACATTCTGCTTCTGTGTGTCCTTGTTTTCTGCAATAATGACATTCCTTGTATCCTTCCATAAATGCTACCCTATGGCTGTTACTTTTTCCTGTTACAAGTAACATTGTTGTTTCCTGTAGTGAAACTATTTCTTCTGCTTTCTCCAGGTCCAAATCCTCTTCTTTTAGTAGCAGAACTCCTGTTTCCTTTAGTAGATCCTTCCTTAAGCCCATTTTAAATTGGTTTAGTAGTAGATCCTGGTTTTTCTTTTTTATTCCAGCCACTTCGCT